TAAAAATTATGTTTTTTGTTCTTACGTTGTAACATAACATAATATAACAATGCCAGGTAGTATTTAACGATACTAGTGCTTGATGTATTTTTGGTTTTATTTACTGACCTTAGCAAAGGCCAACTCCATGTAGAAACTTGTTGACCAAAGACTCAAGGGCTCATAATTAAAGGGCACAGATAGAACTTGATATGTGATAATGCTCTCACTGACATGGATCACATTTTATGTGAGTCATGTGTTTTATGTGGCTCTGGTTGAAATGTGACATGGTGAGATCTTTCTCAGATATCAACACAAAAGTTGAAAGCTTTAAATAATTATAGACCCCTTGATATTTTTGCATAGTATACTTATTATGCATGCCAACAAAGGATCGTCAGGATCACGTGGACAAGAATGGGTAATAATTGGATTACTGTGGGTAAATTGCTCAGGTGGGCAGTATAAGAATGGGGTGACAATGGGTAATAATTGGATTACTGTGGATAAATTGCTCAGGTGGGCAGTATAAGAATGGGGTGACAATGGGTAATAATTGGATTACTGTGGATAAATTGCTCAGGTGGACAGTGTAAGAATAGGGTGACAATGGGAGATAATTGGATTACTGTGGATAAATTGCTCAGGTGGGCAGTATAAGAATGGGATGACAATGGGAAACAATTGGGTTACTGTGGGATAAATTGATTAGGTGGGCAGTATAAGAATGGGATGACAATGGGAGATAATTGGATTACTGTGGATAAATTGCTCAGGTGGGCAGTATAAGAATGGGGTGACAATGGGAAATAATTGGGTTACTGTGGGATAAATTGATTAGGTGGGTAGTATAAGAATGGGATGACAATGGGAAACAATTGGGTTACTGTGGGATATATTGATTAGGTGGGCAGTATAAGAATGGGGTGACAATGGGTAATAATTGGATTACTGTGGATAAATTGCTCAGGTGGGCAGTGTAAGAATAGGGTGACAATGGGAGATAATTGGATTACTGGGAATAAATTGATGAAGTGGGCAGTATAAGAATGGGGTGACAATGGGAAATAATTGGATTACTGGGAATAAATTGATGAAGTGGGCAGTATAAGAATGGGATGACAATGGAAAATACTTGGATTACTGGGAATAAATTGATGAAGTGGGCAGTATAAGAATGGGGTGACAAAGGTAAACTAAGATTATTATGGTGGAATTGGATAGACAATAGCAATGGCATGATGTGGGAGCCAAAGTACAGTTTGTCTACTGATATCGGTGTTGGTAATGGTAGTCACGTTAGAGAAAATCCATGGTCAAACCATCTACTGATATTGGTGGTGGGAAAATCCATGGGGATTTCTAAATGCTTGCCCATTGACAGGTCGAGGATGAGAAAAAAGCCAAGGAAGACCAAATCCAGAAAATGACAGAAGATATCGCAGCACAAGACGCAGCTCTAGCGAAAATCACCAAAGAAAAAGCCAACTTACAAGAAGAACATGAAGTACGTTGATGATTTATTATCGTCTCATAAAGTTTTTTTCAGTATAAAATTCGGTGTTACCTGTTGAAAGCAGTGACTTAATGCATTATCTTGCCTTCTCTCCACTAGAAAACAACACAAGCTTTGCAGATTGAAGAAGACAAAGTCAACCACTTGAACAAAGTCAAAGCCAAGTTGGAATCCTCCCTTGATGAAGTAAGTTGAAATTTAGTGATTGTCTTATGAGAAAACAAAATCACGTGACAGGGCTAATTATTTTTGCCTTACCCATTGTGCTGTTATCCAGTATCAAGCGTGGCCTGTGTGTGACCCAATTAAGGTTGCCTATCTGACAAGCAGCAACTAAATTTTCAAATCAGGATTTTCTAAAACTGAAAAATTTCTAAATTGAATCTCTCCATACTATGCCATCAACCACAAGGATTGGACATTCATTGATATCTTTTTCTGTTTGTAGACTGAAGAGTCTCTTGAACATGAAAAGAAAGCACGTGCTGATGTTGAAAAAGCCAAACGTAAGCTGGAAGGAGACTTGAAGATGACACAAGAAACTTTAGATGAAGTGGAAAACCAGAAGCATAAACTTGAAGATTTGGTTAAAAAGTAAGTGCAGATCTTCTTTGTGTGGCAATACTGAACGTGATAATAGAACAAATTTTACACAAGGCCTCAAACTTTTTTAGATAATGTAACAGTATTCGTTCTATGGTCAAAATAAGTATTATTTTACTGATTTAGTATACAACAAATGTGCATCTAATAGAGCAACTACAGTATTTTTTCTAACTTTGTTTTTTTTTTCTCTTCACAGGAAGGATAATGAGATTTCTCAGATGAACAACAAACTAGAAGATGAACAGAACCTTGTTGCTATGCTACAGAAGAAGATCAAAGAACTGCAGGTATGTATAAAACAACCATCTTCTTTAATTCTGTTACTTTAATGCATTAACTATTCTGAAAAACTTTCTTGTTGTCAGTCACTTTTGTTGATGGCAGCAAAGTATGATGAGATATGCATTGAAGATGTGAAATAGATCAGGCACTCATCTCCGTTGATGACAATGTTAGACATTGCTTTTTCTTGATCACTAGTTGTTAACATTGCTTTTTATGGCACGACATGTGAAATAAAGTATCATCAGTACTAAAGCTGGTTGCTATGGTATCTGAGGATGGGACATGCATCAAAGATGTGAAATGAATCAGGCTTAAGTTCTGGAATGTGAAATGCTGTCACGTCTTTTTTTCTGTCTCAAGTATTTCTCCTTGTTATTCTTTCATCAGGGAGATATTTCAGTCAGTTTATTGCAAATTTCTTAACTGAGGTTACCTTGATATTCCTGCTATTTCTGTCTGACCTTTTGAAATAATTTTCTAGAAAAACATCTTGTCTGATCATGAATACATTGCCCAATATAGTTGATTGTTGGTTTTATTGGTGGTTGAATCATTGAACCAGCTAGTTTAACGGGCATCACTCGCCATATCATTTGAAGGGAGGAGCCACATCCTAACCCCATGACACTTTGTCTGACCTGCACAGGATGTATCCTGTGTTTTTATGTGTAGGAATGCGTTCAAATCACATACATGTATCATTAGGTTTTATTATGCTCTGCTGGGGTGTATATTTAAAAAGCAGACTGAAATCAAATACTTGGTAATATTTAAACTGCAGTGTCCACAATGGGGAAGCAAGCCCATTGATTGGTTGGCTGCTGTTACCTGGGCAGACTGGTGCACTATGGGAAAGTATAATAATCAGCCGCTTAAGCAATGAGTAATGTTAGAAATTACAAACATATTGTGGAGATATGCGTTAGAGTTTGGTGGCTTTTATACCTTAACTGGCAAGACAGGATTGAGGGTGTCAATTTTTTCTTACTTGGGCATACTCTTATAGTCTAGCTACATACCTAAGGAGTTTTAAAGGAAAGGCCTTGTTTCTGCTGCTCTGTATTTCGCTCACAGCCGCTTTCATCATGACCATGCCAATTCAGTTTCTTATTGATGTAAGTTTTTTTCTTGCATGCTTATTCTTTTTACTTTTTTTTTTTTTTAAACCATAAGCCACTCCTGATAGTATTGTACGTTATTAATCTGTTATTTATTTGACTTTTGATTCCGGCCACTTGAACTATATGCCAAAGATCTTAACTATCGTAAATTATATCTGCATCATAGGCAACAGCTGGTCGAGAGTTGTAAGAAAAACCATGCCAGCCATGTTTAGACTTATTTGATTTGTATTTAATTTTGATCACTATTTAAAGAATTAATTAGTCTTTCTTATAATCGGCAAAAAAAAAAATTCAATTAAATCTTTCTTTCGCCAGATTTCATGACTTTTAAAATTTTGTTAATATTATTGAACACTGCGGCAGAATATGTATTCCTTTTGATGAAAATTTACATGATTTCTATTCAAATTATTCTAACAATTGTGATCAAAGTGTTCAAAAATTGTCATGTCATGTGACATACATGAAGCAGATAAACAAAAAAGCTTTGGAAGGTTACAAATTTGAAAAAAAAAAAGCATTTCCTCCATATTATGTTAATATGTGGGAATAGTCTTTTTTCACAACTTCCATGCAGAACAAATATTATATTATTTATCTAGGACTGCAATTTTGTTTTGTTTCTACTATAAACTGATCAATTTACAGGTATACCTGCTTCTCAATTCGATATGAGAAATACAATTCTTAAAAATGATATTTAAATTAATTGAAAACATTATGACAAATTTGTCTAAGGTTATTATATACATTTTTAAAATCCTTGGAGAGGTCTTGGGGGGTGAGCATATTTGCATGTGCTCATGTTGTCAGATCATTGAAGTAAAATTGATGAGTGCATAACTGACATTATGGGGGGAGGGCTCAAATTTACATATAAAAAGAGGGACTACTGTGCTTATCTGACAAGTCATGCTTGAATTGAGTCATTAGATTGCTATCACTATGGCAACCACCTTTATCCTTGGTTTCCAACTAGACATTGAATCATGTTGTGGACAATGACTTATAAATCACAATAAATTAAAATTGTATGCATTTTTGTCATAAGATAGAAATGCAATAGTTAGAATTCCATGACTTGATTTGGAGGATAATATGCCAGTCTCAGTGTTATGTAATGTAGCGAATTTCTGCTATTCTATTTGGTATATTTGTTGGAATTTGTTCTGTTCTAAATTTGGCTCTTCTATTGCTGGGAAATGTGCTCTGATGTTCTGCAGAATTTGTCAGCTGGTCTCGAGTTACCATTAGCATAATGGACAAGTAAAAAAAACAACTGGGGGGTAGCCTAATAAAGAAAGATTGTGCTGCCTGACTATGCATGCCACTACCATTTATGGCTGCATTCCAATCCTGTTATCACACCATGTGACTAAGTGGAGCTGGTTAATCTTTACCCTTCCCTCATTGGCTGTCATCGCATACTGCCATAGTTGACGGTTCTTCTATATACCTAGCTGATTTGCATTTATAGGTAGTAGCAGCGTTGGTGGCACAGTTGGCAAATCGGACTCTTCAGGGCTTCATCTCTCTTCAGTCTCTCCTCAGTCTGAAGTTGTATACTTGTGGTCAGCCATCTCAGGGACCTTATACTATACACATCTCAGTGTTGTTTGATCCAGTGACTATACAGCAGTCTTGGTTCCAACCTACAGTTGTTGTCATCAAATTTTTTTTTCTACCGCTGCTACTCAACTGTTGTATACACTGTTAACTCAGCTGAACTGATACTACTGCCAGTATGTCTTCTACATCATTGATGGAGTACAGTTATTCTTCTGAGTCCCATGGTCCCGGTACCACCTCATTTGAGAAGCAAGTCTCTCGGAAATCCTTCCAAAATTTGAGCACTCGATCAAGGAAAGTTCTGCGACAGAGCTATGAATTGGGTGATACCAGCCCAAGCGTCCGAGCACTTCTCGAAGTAGGCCACTATTGACTTCTGTTGTTCTTCTTCTGTTGTGCATGCCTTGCTAGCTGGATCTTTATGTACATATTTATCTGCCAGTTTATGTGTTACTATAGATTGTTTAAGGAGCCTTTTGTAGAAATGTTTGAGCTTTGTTTATGGCAAAGATAAAAGCAGTTTGCTTTAGTATAGTGAGTTGATTGATCTCGGAGGCTAGATGGACTTTGCTATGCCTTGTTTCCATTTGCCGATAGATAATATTCTATGTTACATGAAGTGAGTCTTTTCATTCATTGGACTGTTCGGTGCCGCTGGAGCAGATCTGGTTCAATTGTCTGCGTGTCAAATGTTATTTCTGTCGTTACAATTATAACTCTTGTCCTTTTGGCTGCATCTTGGGAGCACTGACTGTGTCTCTATGGAAAAACGTGATTTGTGCCTGACTTAGCGTTGTGTATATTGTTTATCTCCTGATCTTGTTTTGCAAGCTGTGTGTGCGCTTCCGTGCACAAAAATCACAAACAATTTATTTAATATTATAGGCCCGTATTGAAGAGCTAGAGGAAGAACTTGAAGCAGAAAGACAAGCTCGTGCTAAGGTAAGATAAGTTTACTTGAAAACTTTATTGTGAGATTATAAAACAAAGGAATTCCCCTCCTTTTATGGATGAATCAGTGGCCTCTACATGTTATGACTAAACTGGAAAACATGCAGTGAATTCTTGGGGATATAATTACTTTCATCAGCAGTTTAACTAATTAGGGATCCCACATAAAAAACCCATGAACATGTTCCACTGTCAGCAAAGGTCATTGAGGCCACAGGCTTGTCTTGTAAATCTTAAATGTATTTATCTGTAAAATAGACTGCGAAAACCCTCAAGCTAAACAATCGGGAATCTCAAAAGTATGCAGGCCAAAGTGTGAGGAGACTTTTAACTGAGGGATTTAGTGCATGGTTTAAATACCCTGTGTAAACTATTCAGTTCAGTCTGAAGGACACCCCTTTTAAGTAGAAGTGGATAAATTCAAATCTAAATATAGCTGTATAGAAAATGTCAGCAAAATAGTTTGAGACATTTTTTTTTTTGGAGTGAGGTCAAATGTACTTAGAGGGAAATTGACAACATTGTTGACATTTCTTCCATGTTTACTGGGATTTGAATTAAATGTCTGCAAAAATTAGGATCAGTTTACTCTACCAAGTGGTAGGATTTGAAGCGTTAGGATTTAAAGTGGACAAATTCTTAGTGTAAATGAGATGTGTATTGAAAAGCAGCTGTTGTCTAAACTGTTATTAAAATGGTCTTGAAATAACAAGAGTTGAATAAAGGAAACCACTGGGTGTCCGCATTTGTTGACATCCCAACAATTCCACCATGCATGCTGCTCATAATAGGAAGGACAAAAACACTTAGTACACTGAAAGCAAGTTGCCTTCTTTACAAGCAGTGTAGCATACCTTTGAACTGTTCTGTATGAAATGGCCAGCACAATAGGGAAGACATACCTGATTAGGGAAGGCCCAGACTGAGTTCCTATAGAGGTCATGACCCCAACAGTGTTTAGTATGTGCCAATATGTGGTTAGCTTCAAATGCCTTAAAATATTTACCTAATGTATTTTTAACTGAGAAAGCGACATGAATTTAAATAAACACTTCCAAGCTGTGGCAGGATATATCTGTTCATTAGCCAATAAATAAGTTGATTTACATACCTAAGCTGACTCTGACTTAAACAATCTTGAAAAACAGGACTTGTCTAATCTTCTTTGTGTGTACTGCTGGAAACCTTTAATATAAGGTATATAACATCTCTAATCTATATTTAGACTTTATAATTAAATCCTCATGGTGTTATTTAGACATGTGATAAGGTGGAACTGACCCAGAGGTGAAGTAATTATACCCCTTGCCGGTTCAGGCTCTATAACACTCCTATTTATTTATCCTCCTGTTATTGAGCTGCTTCAACTTGAATTCAACATTTCAATCTAAATTTACCCCCCCCCCCCTTCCTCCAATTTTATTTACTTTGATAGATTCTAATCCCAAACTAAAGAGCCTTAGGGGAGTTGGTTGTTTTCTCACTCTCTATTCGTTTACCTTCTGCGAATGTTTTGCAAAACTCTAAAATTCCTTGCCATACAAGGTTTGGAATGTGTCTGGTGTCCAAATCCTAACATCCCATTAAATATATATAGCAGCTGGTGTCAAGTTTTTTAAACATAAAAAAAATAAAACTTATTTATTGTATTCTTTACACTGAATTATTAAACCTTAGTGTCCTCAGATAAATCTTACTAAATGGCCACTCCTGATGTGTTGATGTTTGAGTTTAATGAAGATTAATTTGATATTAATTAATCTGTTACTGGTCCAGGTGGCATTATAAATTGAATTTGGTAGCTCTCTCAAATATATATTTTGGTTCTCTGGCTATTTTTTTTTTTATTGAGAATCTGTTACTTTAATGTCAATAAATGAGCCAATCCTTATCACGCCTGATTGCTTATGTTCAGGTGTTAGTCTACATATGTCTAATGCTATTCAGATTGTTTTCTTGACACCATTCCAATGTGAATGATTTATTCATTTCTTGTTAAAATTGGTCTACTCTTAATATCAATACATTTGCTTTTCAACAGGTCGAAAAGCAGCGGTCAGATTTGTCACGTGAGCTAGAGGACCTAGGCGACCGTCTTGAGGAACAGGGTGGTGCTACTGCCGCTCAGATTGAGCTGAACAAGAAGCGTGAAACTGAATTGGCTAAAATCAAACGTGAGCTAGAAGACACACATCTCCAACATGAAGCAACAGCCAGTCAACTCCGCAAGAGACACCAAGACAGTGTGTCCGAACTCAGTGAACAAATGGATGCCCTCCAGAGAGTCAAGAGCAAGTAAGTATTATCCCCCTGCCCTGTCATGTACAAATAGATGTGTACTGGCCTGTATTCGTTAGTACAGATTCTTGGATGGTCATTCAATGATGCTATTTTTTTTTCTTTTCAAGGATTGATAAGGAAAAGAACCTTTTGAAATCTGAAGTCGATGACTTATCTGTGAACATTGAAATGCTGCAGAAAGCCAAGGTACGGAGTTACAACATTTCGTTGAATTTTGTTTTGACTGTCGTGTTTCATGTATTTATTTTGTAAAATTAATATTGCGATTTCATTGCTTTTATTTTAGGGTCAAGCTGAAAAAGTCAACCATCAACTCAACGGACAGTTGTCTGACGCCAACATGAGAATCGACGAACACGTGCGTGTCATCAATGAATTGAATGGCCAGAAAGGCCGTCTCGGACAGGAAAATAATGACCTAACCCGCCAACTCGAAGAAAGTGAAAGCCTCGTCAGTCAACTGAGCAAACAGAAAACACTGTTGAATGCCCAGTTGGAAGAGGCCAAGCGCAGTTTAGAAGATGAATCGAGAGCCAAATCTAGTCTTCATTCTCAGCTTCATCAAGCTCAAAATGATATCGATAATCTTCGTGAACAGTTGGAAGAGGAAGCCGAGGGCAAGAGTGAATTGCAGCGTCATATGGCTAAAATGAATAGTGAATTGCAAGCCATGAGAGCCAAATTCGATGGTGAAGCAGTTCAACGTGCTGAGGAACTTGAGGAGTCTAAGTATGGGACAGTTTTGTATTTACCTTTCAAAAAAAACTCGAACTAGTCTATTATACTGACAATTTGCTTTTGATTAATGGTATCGTATTCAGGGATTTTGTTTTTCATGCAACTTCTTTTTGTTTTTAATTGCAGGAAAAAGCTACAGCTCCGTCTTCAAGAGGTCGAGGAAGCTCTTGAAAACGCCCTGTCCAAATGCAGCAGTATGGAGAAGAACAAACATCGTCTACAAGGTGAAATTGAAGACATGAGCATTGAAGTTGAACGGGTAAGCTACGGGGAAAAGTTTAATTTAAATTTTCATCGCACAGCAAATGTTATCAATATATTAAACAATTTTTTTTTTGCGGTTCTATTTAGGCAAACAATGCTGCTATGGCCATGGAAAAGAAACAACGTACCTTTGACAAACAGATTTCTGAGTGGAAGATTAAATGCGATGAGCTGAGTGTTGAATTGGATAGTGCACAAAAAGAAGCACGCTCATATTCCACTGAAGTGTACAGACTGAAGGGAACTTATGAAGAAACCCTTGAGAGTATCGAGATTTTGAGGAGAGAGAACAAGAACTTGCAAGGTGGGGGTTGGCGAACCGTTTTTCAACACTCCCAATCTCATTAATAGTTGTTAATTTTTTTCTGATATGAGAATTTATTTTAATCACCCAATAATTTCTTTGTATATCTTCAGAGGAGATTGGAGACTTAACTGACCAGCTTGGTGAAGGTGGCAAGAACGTCCATGAACTCGAGAAAGCCCGTAGGAAGTTGGAAATGGAGAAAGAAGAACTCACAGCTGCCTTGGAGGAAGCTGAGGGCCAACTAGAACAAGAAGAGAGCAAAGTTCTTCGCATCCAACTTGAACTCACCCAAGTCCGCCAAGAAATTGAACGCCGTGTTGCTGATAAGGAAGAAGAATTTGAGGCCACTCGGTGGGCTTTCTACTTAGTCTTAAGTTCTTGAAAATCTCCATACCCACGCTAATATGAGTAAAACAGTCCTGGCAGGGCTCTGAGGCTGAGACATCTTTCTTCCTGAATCAACTTTCTTTCATTCTTTACTTGCACATTCAAAACTTCTTTATAAGCATTGATAAGATTTGAGACATCTGCCATCACTGTCTTTACTTCACCATCCTTCTCATATTTATTTTTTGTTATTTATTTTCCTATTCAGTTTATACTTTGCATGCTTGTTTTCTTCTGTGTGTGTTCTCATTTCTTAAATAGTAGTATTTCTAGTTAATCATTAACTGCACATTTCTTTCTTTCTACTTGGTTTCATCTTTTCTGTGATGCATGCAGACACAGAAGTCCAAAGACTGGCATGACTCTTTTCGATCTGTTAGCGAGTTTGAGAGTTTAAGAATTTATCCTGAGTAGAAAGAATCATCTAGCGACTCTCATTCTGTTGTGTTCCCTATTCTCCTGATGTTACCATCTGTACTAGACAGACTCTAATACAGATTATTGCAATGTATTTCCATAGTTAGAATGTCAAGTAGATTAATATATATTTATTATCCATTATAGAATATTCAAACTTCCGATGTTCCATATTGATAATGCATGCTGATAGAATTTTTATTATAGACTATGCATGGCATGTTTGGAAAAATTTCTAATAATGATGGATTATCTAACCATTCATGCTCTGTGTATTTGTCAAAAATAGCAAGAACCACCAACGTGCCATGGAATCTATGCAGGCTAGTCTCGAAGCTGAGACCAAGTCTAAGAATGATCAGCTGCGCCTTAAGAAGAAACTTGAAACTGACATCAATGAGCTAGAGATTGCCTTGGACCATGCCAGTAAGAACCACGCTGAAGCTCAAAAGAATGTGAAGAAAATGCAAATACAGATCAAGGTATTTGCGTATTTTTATGTATTTTTCTATAAATGTTTTGATAATTTTGAACTAAATAAATTTAAATTCCCATGGACTGAAGGTTGATCAAAACTTTGGGAAAATATCAAAATATGACAAAAGTTGGTTGCAGGATTCTGTTGGCAGGCCAGTCTAGTTAGTTCTCGCCACAAAAAGTCTTTTCTAACTAGTACATAGTAGTTATAATAAGTGGTAGAATACGTCTTTCACTAACCCATGTTCTTTTTCCCTATGCCTAGTGGATGTGTTATCTGAGGTAGGATGTTAGTATCACTGCTTGTAACTAATTTTAATAATTACATATTTAGTCACTAGTTTGTCGTCAATTATCTGTAGAAATATTTTTTTTAGGTTTTCTTGATTCTCTTTACTTTGAGGAATGTCTTAAGTGTTCTTTGTTACTTCTTTTGCAGGAATTACTCATGCAGGTTGAGGATGAACAGCGTGTTCGCGATGAACAGCGAGATCAAATTCAAATTGCTGAAAGACGCAACGCTATGTTGCAGAACGAATGTGAAGACTGCAGAAATGCTTTGGAACAGGTAGAATTTTCTCTTCAATAAAATTTTCATGCCTTTTGGAAATTTTTCCTGTTGAATTTCTTTAAATTGTGTTCTTTTTCTGTCGTTATTCCTATCCAGGCTGACAGATTACGTCGTGCTGCTGAAGCTGAACTTGGCGATGCTTCTGACCGCGTTAATGAACTCACCGCTCAAAATAACTCCCTGAACTCAGTTAAAAGAAAGGTGGAAGCTGAAGTACAAGCCCTGCAAACTGAGTTGGATGAAGCTTTCTCTGAAGCTAGAAACCAGGAAGAAAAAGCAAAGAGAGCTATCACTGACGTGAGTATTCCTATAAGGAAGACGTCTTGTTTTCGCTGATTTTTGTTTTTCGTACAAAGCATGGTTTATGTTTAGAAGTGGGGGTTAAATGTTGCATAATTTTGTTTTTTACAGTGTAGCCGCCTGGCTGAAGAACTTCGCAATGAACAAGATCATGCCATGCACATTGACAAAATCCGCAAACAATTAGAATCTCAAGTCAAAGACTTGCAGATGAGATTGGAAGAAGCCGAAGTCATGGCTCTGAAGGGAGGCAAGAAAATGGTTGCCAAGATGGAAATGAGGGTGAGTAGCTATCACCCCTGTGTTAACAGTGAAATTGAAATAGTCTGCTAATTCAGTATTCGTACACAAATAGGAATGCATTTAACACTTTTGATTTTATTGGTCACAGCTCCATGAGGTAGAGAAACAATTAGATGAAGAACAACGTCGCCGTGCCGATGCTGAAAAGAATATGCGCAAGAACGAGCGTCGTGTTAGAGAAATCCAGTTCGCAATGGAAGAAGACCATAAGAATATTGAACAACAAAAAGAAACAATCGAAAAATTGATGATCAAGATCAAAGTACATAAACGCCAAATTGAAGAGGCTGTAAGTACCAATTATTGCCCTCTAAAGTTATATTTACAAAATTTTGACTATTTACAATACATTATGTTGCAAAAACTGACCATACTGTTATGTTGCAGGAGGAACAAGCCAACATCAATCTTGGAAAATACCGCAAAGTGCAGCATGAACTGGAGGAAGCAGAAGAACGTGCCGATATGGCCGAGTCGTCATTAAACAAGCTCCGTGCCAGGAACCGCAGTCAAGTATCAGGAAGTCGCACAAGCACTTCTGTGAGTGTTCATTATATCTGCACAGTATAGACTAATAACGGTAGCATAGCATAATCACAGACATGCTACATAGTTCATGAGTCTCATCAGTTACAAATTGCAAATTACAGTCCAAACGGGAGCACTTCTACTTGTGTGGATGTGAACAAAAATATATTGTTTAATTATCTAAAATAAAACCTAAAATAAGGGTGTCTATTGATTTGTTTCTGACTGATTTCTCATTCAGGCGCGATACATAATTTATTCATGAAGTATGTAGCATTGTTAAATGTATCACTGACAGTAAATGTATTCACTTTGCATGCTTACAGTTTCAGAACAGGTACAACAAGTACTCATAATGTAAGTATAATTAAGGAGTCTAATATCTGCATTAATTCTTAGTTGCCCATGATTTTTATCACCACCTTGAGGGGTCTCAATATTTCAGAACTATGCTGCTATAGTTCTTTAATCAGATAACTTTTTGTAATAACTTTCATTTGGCAAGTGATCAAAATATGTAAAAAAAAATGATGAAATCATTGGCAACTCAGAAAAAAAAAAGTCTTTTTTTTCTTATTTTCACTTGAATCTTACTATATCTGACTACATTTCTCTGTTTCTTCAAACTTTTTTTTCCCCACATGCTCTCCATATTTTCATCTACCCTTTTTAACTCTTGATTTGTTCCTGGATTTGTATATATCGTCTGCGCAGAATGTCAAATCTGCTCAATCATAGACATGAGGAAGGTCGGTCACGGGGGAGAAAATGACATCTAAGTAAGTTAAAATGCAAGCTATATGTAGAGCACGTTCTACCAAGTTTGTGATTGATGTTAAACTCCCCAAATTTCCCTCTGTTTATTTTTGTATATACACTTGCACTCTAGTAAGTATGTCTTCTGACCTGGGCTTGCTCTGTCTGTCTTTTCTTCTTTTCTTTCTGTCTCCCTTTCTGTCTGTGAAGTCATTCTCTACTGGTGGGTCTAGTGGAACCATCACTATCAAAAAGACAACCAGAACTATGACTGAAGAATCCGGATAAACTCCCCAGCATACTTTTTAGTTTATATGGTAAATAAAGTCGATAGTTGTCATGACAACCTAGGCATGATGTAGGTAGAAGTGTGCCACTCAGCATGAAATGTCACATTTCTCATCTTTTCCTTTTAATATCTCAGTGTACTCAATGTGTGAAGCATGTTTTGTGCAATCTGTGTTTTGTTGTTGTCATCTTACTAAGGCAATCTTTCTGCCGTATCTGCATACATTAGAAATTAATACCAGCTTTTGAAAATAATCAAGCTTCAATTCTGCCACTATGAGGTTTAAGATTATCCATTTTCGCTCAAAATTTTTCCTGCACTGGCTTTTCATATGAAAGCAAGCCTAACTAAATTATAATTCTATACAATGCTAATTGCTATACAAAATGCTATTAAATTTAAAATGAAGTTTAAGATTTTCATTGCAAAATCTGATGAGGGAGTTGTGATCAACTTGTTAAATACTGAAATAAAAAATAACAGACTTTGAAAATCCAAAGGATTCAAGATCGCAAAATACTTGACATTATCAATTTTGGTTTTGTAGGAATTCTTCAGCTAACCAAAATTGGTAAATATCAACTTTGAAGAATGATATTTAAAACTTTGAATGCTAATTGGTATTTGACCAGTCACTAAACCATTTTCATTGGTATTGCTGTGACACCAATGTGATTTACAGTTACTAAACCCTTGTATCCATGGCGACCAATTTACCATGACTAAGCATACCATTGCAGTTGATTCACTTGCTGCATGTACATAAATAGATACTACCAACAACAAAAATAATAACTTGCTATCAAAATATATAATTCATCTAATGCATATAATTATTTTATTGACAGGGCGGCGGCTATGCAGGCTATTCACCCATGAGAAATTATTCATCGCGCAATAGCGACCGCAGTAGTACAGCGTCAGCCAATGGGGGAGAAGAAGAGGAATAAACTACCAACCAAGACTCAAAAACTACAAGAAAAGAAACTATGATGCAATGTTCAAAATATCAGTTGCCTAGGGAACCTTACAATAGCGCCAATAACCTGTCATTGAATTGGGGGGATTTTTTTATAATGATATATTAATAATACATGACTTAAAAGGAGAAGGTTATTATTACAGAATTTGAAAGGTCAGTAGGGCTAAAAGAACTTTTTTTTGTTATGCCATGGGTTAAGTTTAAATCTGCCACAATATAGATTATTATTTCCCCCCTAAACCATTTTTCTACTGGAAGGGGTTTTAGTGCTGATAATGAGTGTATGCTGGTTGCCTGGCATCGTAATCATTTAATTTTGTTCATGTCTACAAATGATTGATATAGGCGGAGGCAGGCCAGTTAGGTTACCCGCGATCTGGCTACCCATTTTTGTTTTAGTTTTCTAACTTATGTAAAAATAACCCAAAAATTAAAAGAAAGACAAAAAAAATGAAAATTTAAGTTCAGATTAAACTTAACTCGGCCGTAATTGCATTTGTATTTTTGCTACTTGTTTTGTAGAGTAAACGACGAAAGAAGAAAAAACCCAGACTCCAGGTTATTTATTATTATACTGCATTGTAGACCCGTAATAACTTTCCCCCATTTGGCTTGCTTTAGAAGCTTTTACAATTCTATGCCTATTTCATCTCTCTCTATCTTTCTTTTTTAGTCTAAAACTTTTTTTATTTTTAACTAAAGTGTGATATATAGTTAAAGAATTTTTTTAGAAAATCTTTTAAAGTGTAGATGTTTTATTTTCTGTGGGAAGACATCGCCAAAACCACCAACCAGCCAGTCAGTAACTAATGTATTTTTTTTTACCAAGTGCTAATAAACTGTCAGTTGAGAAAAAGAAAATCAAAACTATGTATATGTGTTTTCCTGAATGTATGGCTGCACAAAGTGGGTTAAACAGCAGACAGATCTTTATTGACATTCTACTTTTAAAAATTGGTTGATCCCTATTTAAGAAACTATTTCTATAATAAAGTTTCATCAAAATTACAAGTGCTTTCTGAAATACCCACGTTGTGAAGCATAGAGTAGTTTGTATGTTTGTTTGTCTGCCCTCTTTTCCCGTACTCGACCCTCCCCACTCCAATACCGGATGTTTTCATCTTTCTCGTTTGCCTAACATGACTGCGGTTCATTGATTCGACAGCCGCATACTTCACACGGTTACACTGTATTACAAGCGAGATAAGATTGGCTTGTTTCCATTTATGACTAGCTGCAAATTGAATTTTCATGATCGAGAAAAATAATTTCATGAAACTAGAGGTGCCAATACATTGTTAGTAATTGAAGAAATAGTTGGAAATAGAACTTGAGTACTTAACTTGATTGCAACAGCTTCAGAACTGTCTGGCAAAGTTAAAATTGTGATGTGCGACTGCCCGGTACACACGCACACACTGGGACATTGGAATGTAGAATTGTTGTAACCAGCACTAGCTACAAATTGATTTTTCATGATCAAGAAAAATAATTTCATGAAAAAGATGTGCCAATACATTGTTACCGGTAGTAATTGAAGAAATAGTTGCAAATACAACTCAAGTACTTAACTTGATTGCAACCACTTCAGAACTGTCTGGCAAAGTTAAAATTGTGACGTGTGACCACCCGGTACACGCACACACTGGGACATTGGAATGTAGAATTGTTGTAACCAGTTACCTTAAGGATTGATATACCAACCCCAGCCCCCCAAACTTTACCACCACTGTATCCTTATTTATACAGTAACAAACCTTGGTAGAGCTTCCAGAATCTGGTTTTAACTCGCTCTGAATAAGACCCCTTGACATTATACCCTAAGTGAGACATAAATCTGGATGATGTAAAGTTTTGGTATCGTCCATTTGCTTATGAAAGATGACTTTTGTTTGTCTGAATAAATTGAAGCAACCAAAAAATACCAAGACGTCATTAGTTTGAGGAAAATGTCATGCCTTCAGTTATATTTATATACAATACAATTTTATTTCACCAGATAAAATGCATTACACAAAGTACAAAAACGAAAATAGAGATGTACATAACTATCTGGCGAGGACAAGAGAGGTAGTTCTAGTAGAACTAATCTAGTCTCTAGCCCTTGCATATTTACTGATAGCAGAAAAAAAAAACTGATAATGATGTGAATTGATACCGGAAATTCGAAACCTCCTAGACTTGTGCACATACTGTAATAGTTCTATTAGAAGCACATCTCCAATAGAAGCACATATGTACCATTAATTGATTACTGGATCATTCAAATATTACTTATTTTTGGCCATAGACATTGCTGTCATTTACAAAAGCACATGTGCTACTAATAGAGAAAATATGGTATAAAATAAAAGTTATCCTTTTAGCATATTTCCATGCACAGTTTTGGTGACAGATAAAAATAAACTCCACTACTCCATTTTAATGTTGCATCTCCACTTTCTATTATCTGAATACACAGAACACCACCCAATGATTATTGTGATTACCATGGAAATGGTTATATCACTTGTTTTTTTTCCATAAATCCCGAAATATTTGGTGTACTGCAAGCCTGCACGATCATGTTGTACAATCTCCAACATGAATTTCATTGTTGTAATCATTCAAGACACTTTTCTTTATTTTTGGCGCTGTGCTTTTGGCCATTCTTCTGAATTCGATTTCAGAATTGTTTTGGATAAATTGTCTTGTGAACTGCATAAAGTACAACGCCATTATGATGCTTATAGGGTCATTGAGAGGTTTTCTTCACACAAAGTGAGAATTCCATTCTATATAGGGCAGGACTGAGGTCAATACATACAAATATCCATCATTGTGTTGCGTATTGCTTTCTAGTCTGCAATGTGCATTATTTTGCGGTCAAAATGATTTGAATTGAAGGTTGATGCTCTTTAAGGGGCGGTGGCCGTCGCGCATCGCGTGTTCGAATTTCTTGTAAACAAATAAACAATGTATTTTACACGCGTTGTATACGTCGCTATGAGTCCCATATCGAACAGGGCGCGGCGGACGACCACACATTTAGACATATCTATATGCCATCCTCGTGAAATTGACTCATTTTCTGAATTAGTAGCGCCTTTAATTAAGGTGTCAACAATCGCAGAAACGTACACTGTGGAAATGCACTGGCGTGTAATTTATCCCAAGGTAAAGTGACGTGAAGAACCCCGGGAAGAACGTCTACATCGTTTACCACAAACACAATACACACTACAGTACTTCATTTGTCTTCAATGGTAGGAAACTTGATAGGCAGGTCCCAAAGTTCAAATTCTAACCGGGGTGAGTGTCCACGTCCACGTCCCTCAATGGAAAGTCCAAGGACGTACACCGGCCGAGATTTACTTCCACAATTTTAGGATCACAATAGGAGAACAAGGCCACTTCGCCACCGGACGTTCACGGATGCGACTTTATATCCCATTAAATTGTTATTTTGATGGTTGGTGCGGACACTGGACTGCAATATCTGGCAAAGGAATATGTATATGTACGGGTCCGCTAAATGGTCTATCTGTTTCTGGCAGCTGAGAAAACTGATTCACACACTCACGAAA